AGCACACACGCGCCGAGAGTCGGAGCGCGGCAGCGAGAGCACAGTTCACAATTAGCTGTCAAAATCTACGATCAAGGATAAACACTAAGCCAATTCAGCTGGCTGTGTACGAGCGCGTCCGTCCTCGTGAAAGTGCATTAACTCTTCCATGCTATAGCTGGGATCCACATATTATTAAGCGTGTATTTGTCAAACTCCGCAACACTTAAATTTACTTTGATACAGATTTGGTCCAAATTAAACTTTATTTTTAGTTTGACAAAAATTGAATTCGAGTCAAATCAGTTTTTTTCTAGTTTAAATTTTAATTCTTAAATTAATTCATTTTTTAACCAGCTCGTATATAGGCTGACGGTGACGGTGGTCTGGTCTAGCCAAGAAAAAAAGCTAGTTTTATTTTGGACTTGTCAAGCGGACCCAAGTTTTAATCGTCGTACTCACATTCACATGCGCTCCATTTTTTGTTTCAACTTGTGATCAAGGCTTCTTGGCCCCGATACGCATCCCTAGAGATCTCCATGATCTGTTTATGATCGCTTCGCAATTTTAGGAGATATAAGCTAATTATTAAAGGGCAAGCTGCGTGATAAGCTGATGAGAATGAAATGGATGGGATTGATGACGAGGCTCATGTGATGATGAGCTACAAAAGGCATTCGATCTAGCGTTGGGGCAGGGTGTGTCACTGACACTGATGTATTCGCCACTGGGTGGCACTACAGGCACACCACCAATCACAACTTGGGGCACACCCCTCCCTCAGCTACAGTGCAGGAGGCCCACATGAAATTTTTAAAAAAATTACATGTGGGCCCCGTGCACTGTAACTGAGAGAGGGGAGTGTGCCTCAAGGTGTGGTTGGTGGTGTGCCTATACCATTTCCCTTCGCCACTGGAGTTGAGGGGCCATTCTGTGCATGACGATTATGTAGCTAATTGAAATTATTTATACCTTAATTAGAATTAATCCCTCGCTGCTTAAATTGATTGACATACCCTTTGATCCGAAAAAAAAAAGAAGTGGGCAATTAAACTCGGATTTATATTACCATGTTTTCTCTCTCTTGTTAACTGAAGGCGAACACGGTGAGGATTTGCATCCTCGATCTATGTTTGATCTCAAAATGAAGTGGGAAAGCTCGGATTTGTATTATTATGCATTTAAATGCGATTAAACTTTCATCTTCTTTTTTTCTTCAATAAATTGATCTTCTACTCTTAGTTATTAGTAGACTAAAATATTTTCATCAATGTGCTAGCTGGGGCTTAACTTTATGCTCCAACCCGCGAGCCCGTTGACACGATACTCACTGAATGACCAAATGTAACACTTTGTCACCCAAATCACTGTTAAAATGACAAAAAGTTGCTCTTGATGTGAAATGCATATTTAGTTGATCCAGATGGAGAAAGAATCTGAGGGAGCAACGTGAATGGATGTTAGATGCTTAAAAGGCAATGGGGGGGAAAAAGCTAAAACATCTGGCACTAATAAAGAAAGGGATCGTTGGCGTTAATGATTCCTTCCGCATCTTATTATAGTATTATTAACTAATAGGAAGAAGAAAAAAAAAAGTGACGGAGGGAACAAAAGAGAGGATGATGATTATATGTCAGTAGAGTAAATATTAGTCCTTGAATCTCATTTAATAGCGTGGGCGTAGCATGTGAACTGACTGTGCGCTTGACGGTGGTCGGCTGAAAATATATTCTTATAGCTCTTCTATTAAAATAAATTAATTAATTAAGTACGTAGAATGAGTGAAGAAGAAGTAACTTAAGACTTGTAATTATTAGCGATAGTAGGCCACCCTCTTGCTTATTCTAAGGATGTGTTTGACAACTTGATACTAATCTAGTTAAGGTTTTAATCAGGTTAATTAAGATTTATAAACTAAGTTAAGAATGATCCAAAGATAACCTAGATAATGGTTCTTTTTTGAACTAAAAAGAACAATGCGAAGCTTGTATGAGTTTTTACAAAACACATTTTAGGCTTTTATCTAAGTGGACTTATTCAAGTTAATGCGGTTGAGTTGCCAAGCAAGCTCTAATGTTTTTAGGGTGGTTTGTCGACTTCACAAAACTAGTGTTAATGGGTACAATTTTGGCCCAAAAATTAACTTTTAGTTTGGCAAAAGTGTGACCCAAAGTTAAACTAGTTTTCATTACTTTAAAATTTACCCTTTAAACTAGTTCTTTTTTGCATCAAGTTGAGCCTAATTAAAGGAAAATAAGTTCTAGTCTAGTTTTTTTTTTTTTTTTATAGTTGTAAAACACACCCATAATGTATAGCACCGGGTAACATATAACATATTGCATATGCACACTACCGCTCAACTTCTTCATGACCACCTTTTGTCAACGATGGGATCCGAATCTGGATCTACCATCATCTGTCCATGTACAATTATGATTGAGCTAAGTGCAATATGTATATAATTAATCCTTGATTATTGAGATTGAATTTCAGCCCATTGATAAGTGTTGTGGGCTTTTTCTTGAAAACCGTCTTAAAATACGGTCATTATATAAAAATCACATTTTATTTTTAATTTATATGTAAATTACTTTTAAATAAGCTTTTGTGTTCCAGTCAACCACTTTCTAGTCAAATTTTTACTAAAAAAACCTTAAAAAATGCAGGCTAAGGTACATTATTTGTATCCTAACTAAACCTAAATATTAACAAAGTGAGCCATGCGTCTTGAATGTAAGTTTTTAATGATATATTGTGTTTTTTTATAAAATTTTTGACTAGAATAAAAATTTCACTTTAAAGATAATTTAGTATAAATTAAAAAGAAAATGTAGTTTTCATTTAGTAACCTTATTTTAAGGGGGAACCAAATGTAATTGGATACCCTCTCTTGAATTGACATATGAATGACTACGGGTTTTTTTAATATAATGCAATTAATTACTTAATGGAGTTCAAATTAGGGCTTTCACACGTCATGTAAGTGGTAACATATCTTTTAGTTTACTCACTCTTAAGTTGTAAGCTCTTTTCTATCCATCAACAAACGTACTACTAGATCCCCTGCGTCACTCTATTAATTCTCTACTAGTAGAATTGGGCTGCCATAGAAAAATACGCCATGGATTCCAAAACAAGTCTTAAGTTTAGATGTATCTTGAATCGAGATATATTTCGAGTCCATGCCCAGCCTAATGGGCCTAATTTGGGCCGGTTACATAGTACTGATGATAGGCAAGCGGAACCACCGAACCGAACCACCGAACCATCAGGGGGCGGATCCGCCTACGTCTAAGTGGTATCACACTATCACGTGACACCACTTTGACAAAGGACCACTCCTTAATGTACACCCTAAAATATTATTGGTATCTCAACTAAATTCCATAGTTTCTACCCATAGTCTTCCCTCATTTCTATTTTAAGCTAATCAATTTAATATTAGTAATTATTAATTAGGATTAGCGGATAGACCCCTGTGCTATCGCCAGAGTGAATTTGCTGCTGTTTTATTATAAATAAACCCTTTGAAAGTGTTTTTGTTGCAGATAGACCCTCTTAGTGAAAATATATTGTTTTTTAATGGAAACTATAAAAACAACAACTCGAAGAGATTAGAAACGTACAAGAAGAAATGACCAACAAAGGAAAATCTATTGTTGTATATAGACCCCCCCCTAACAAGATAAAATGTTTCACTTAGAAAATCTATCTATAGCCATAGAACTATGGGTGTAACAATTGAGCGATGGCACAAAAAGCCTATACCCAAATAGCTCTATTAATTAATTATGTAGCCACACCATTTTTCTAAAAATTTCTAGACCCGTCGCCGGCAACCATGGGTTGTTTTTTCCCTTCACCTTAATCAGTAGGTCACAAATTTATACCCTCCGTCGATCTCCTCGTCATATGCGCAGCGAGATCATAATTTTCTTATGTTTGTGGTCACTATCACATGCAAAGACAAAATGGTGACTGGTCTGTTATACGTCTAATATATCAGCATCCCAATCATCCATCACCACAAACAAAAAACAATTGCCGGCCACAGATATGAAGAAGATCAACCATCCAAGTCCACCTCTCGATCGAGCTTAAAGGCCAACAACCATTCGTTCACCATCCCCTTTCATGTTGCATGGCGATTCGTTCAAGGAGTATGGGCTCAACAACAACTCAGCAGCTCATCGCCACCGCGGCCCTGCTGCTTGCATTGTCCGCAACTCCTGCAACCGGCAGGCCCAACACCACGATAATCAGCGTTCTCTGCAACCAGGGAGAGTACACACGAGGGGATCCCTTTGCCATCAGCCTCGCCTACGTCCTCGACGACCTCGTGGGCAACACCCCCTCCAGCAAGGGGAGGGACTACTACGACATCTCCCCGTTCCCTAACGCGTTTGCTTATGGCCACGCCGAATGCAGCACCAATCCCAATCTTACGGCAGCCGACTGCTCTGATTGCCTCCATTCTGCCGTCGCCCAGCTCAACGCTAGCTGTAGCATGAGGATCGGGGGAAGGGTGGTGCTCTCCGATTGCAGCATTCGTTACGAGCAGTATCCTTTTGCTGGCTGACTTTGCGATCGCGTGCCTGCTTCTTTTGCGATCGTACGCCATCAGAAGAATTATGTAAAGGAGAGCTTTCTGAAATAAAACATTTCATACACCCTAGTTTTTTCCCCCCAATATATACGAATAAAAGAATCCACATGCGTTTTACCAGGCTCTGATTCACTCACTGATACTTTTTTTCACGAGTCCGGTTCAAATAAACAAGACCACTACCTGCGTACACAGACTATAGAAAGATAAAGAGAAGGTGCTGTACAGATATCGAGTGCGGGTGATGCCCATCCCCTAAATAGGAAAGGGAGCGCAGCCACCAACATCGTAGCCACTTTTGAGCAGATTATGCGTATGCTTTGGATCACGGTAAAATTTGAGGTATTAATACTGTGACCAAGCAAAACAAGTAAACCATAGATTTCAAGATTATAGCCGCCGGAGGGCATACCGATATTGAATAGTAAAATTTCTTAAGACATGCTGTTAAGAGCATAAGAATGGCCTCTTTGTAATGTCAAAATCATCCCCACCGCTTGGTGTGTCACTGTCACAGCCTTACAAAATCTCTCCCACACAATTGTTCCAAATATTCCAATGTTTAATGTGCAACACAACGAAAGGGCTATTTTGTGCCGCTGACATTCAAATTTGCTATTTTGTACCGCTGACATTCAAATGTCGGGATCTGTTTCGCTCAATTTGCACCTGCGGTGTCCATACTTGTGACCCCATTAACCTGATCTTTGAAGACAACACGTAATTTTCTCAGGCATGTGGTTCTCTTGTCATTTTTCTCAGTGGTTCCACTGACATGCACGGTATCTTTCGGGACTTTGTCGATTAGATCAAAAAGGGGTAGCTGGAGATTAGATCTCGTCATCTCTTCTAAAACTGGAGGAGCCTGCATATAGAGATTGTTTCCTCGATGTGTGATGCTTGGTTTCGAAAGACGCAGCTGAGGGTGTTTCCCAAGTAGCTCCATGAACTGTTGCAATACAGAGCAAACGAACAAAAATCAAAAATCAAGCACTGAACTTCATCACGAGAATAGCACAAATTCCAAGACTTGCAAAAGACACTTGCTGACGGAGTTCCATAAACCAAATAACCAATCATTCTTGATTCTCCCTTTGTCCCCTAAGTTCTCTGAAATATAGCTATTAAATTGAAATATGAAAAGATTCTGGAAGTCTATTCATCAATTAACACCA